ATTATTTTCTCAAGTAAAAGAAAACTATAATTAAACATTTTTTGTTAATTTTCTCATTTTTCTGACATCAGCAGAGTAATTAGAAGTTCATACGATTTTGTTCACTAATCACTTCAAGCATGGAAACTTTAGTCCAAGAAAGAGAATTCTTCTTAAAATTAAGCAGCCTTCATTTGTTTCCTGTTCACCTTCAATGGAGACATAATGTAAAGTTTTGACAAGTTTACAATGTACTGAAGAATATAGAGAAAATATATACAAAGAATGTTTTAACTACTGATAGCAGTAGCTATATCATGGAATTCAATACAGAATTCAGTTCTTATTCAACAAATATTTACTGTGCACTTACTAAGTACTGGGCATTAGGCAAAGCAAAACTTAATTCTCTCAATGGCTGGATGAATCACTCAAAAACATATGAAAAAGAACACCTTAGAAGTCATCAGACATATTGCAACTAAACTTTTTTATTTCATTCTTGCATTATCACACAGAGTGCTGATCACACATTTAAAAGAAAAAAAAACATTCAGAAATAAGAACCCTCAAAAATGGAATCCTTCTCATTGGATTCAAAGTGGGTCCTTTTCCATTTCACTATGTTGTTAATTCTTTTTAACTCCTTAGTCATCTGTTCCATAGACAGAGATTAGCACACATACAAGCTACCCATGTATTTTTACTATTGTGACCAATTTAGGTGGAGATAAGAGTTGATGGTTTTTTTTTCAAGGATGCTCTTCAAGAAAACCAATTGTTCGCCTTAAAACATCAACCATTTTAGTTCTAATTTGAGACGCATTTTCCCCCAATGTTGACTTAATTGCTACTACCTGATCCAAGAAAATCTTTCTGATTAGTCATTTGATTTTAGATTTTATTACAATGTTCACCTAAACTCAAGCCTTGATAGGTATGTTAGAAATTTAAAGTCAAAGTGCTTAATTACATTCTGTGGAAAGTGAGGATTCATGTTCCCCAATTACAATTAAATTATAGATCCCTGTAGTAAATTTCACCATGTTCTAAGCTTGTAAATATGCAAAACAGAGCTTTTAACCTAGTTGTACAGGGGATGCGCATGCCCCATCAGGGTTTCCGACTGGCAAACTGTCACTCACTACATTGCCCATGCTATTTTAATCATCTATTAAAAGTAAATACCACTGGGATCACATTTAGTAAGATAGGAGCTTAGAACTTATTTATAATTTACTATTTTAAAGGAATTTACATTTTGAAGACTTAAGGAGAATTCTTTAGTCTATCATAGACCAAGACACTTCCTTTGACATTTTACATTTCTAAGGGTGAAATTACTGAACAAAAGTTACTAATACCATTAGGAATTCAAATAGGCACTTTTCAAGAGTACAGATTCTGTGGCCTTCAATCTTCTGTACATGCAGCAAAACACAAAGTCATGAAATCAAACTCATGATGCATGTCGTATACTCTAAATTCCTCACAGAAGCTACAAAAACAATTTATATTTTCTAGGTATTCAGTTGATATGCATTTTTAAAAAATAAAGTAGGAACAAACTAATCCACTTTATTTTAGGAACCAACCCACCTCTTGCTCATCTATCTTTGTCCAGATTTCCTTATAGACTTTCAACAGTAATTTTATGAATAACAAGGGAAGCACAAATGTCCTAATGGAATATTAGCAGCTGTACCTAAGTGAATGCTTACACACACAGAGATGACTCTGTCAGAAAATGTGCACAGCATTGCTGTTGTGTTCTGTTGAGGTGTATTTGATTCATAACAACCCTGTATAGGGTTTCCAAGAAATGGTTGGTAGGTTTGAACTGCCAGCCTTGCAGTTAGCAGACTAGTGCTTGTCCCACATACAGCAGCTAGGCATTAGGCATCTGCAATGCAGTGAATTGTTCAGCGTGGTTCTTCTAGCCAGGGTTTTTCTAACACCCACTGAAGGACTTTTTCTTAATGGATCTGGGTAAGAGAAGGTGGGAGAAGATGTTGATAGGATTATAT